AGCTGTTGTTAGAATTTATTTAATATTACTTTCTACACCAGGATCTTTTTCTACGTAGCTGACGGCTGGTAACTGTGCAGGGGCGGATCTAGCAAAGTTTAGCCAGGGGGGCCGATAGGGTATGAACGGGGAAAAGGGGGCACAAAGACATACTTTTCTTTCTTATTCTCATTTAAAAGGTCTAGCTTTTAATAAATAATTATCTGAATCTTACACCCAAAGTTTTAATCTGATGTAAAATGTATAGAAGTCCATTACTGTATATAGTAACTATTAAGTTTAATATACCCTAGTAAGCTATAGTACTTTTTCCTTTGGGAAGGTACCATCTGTGCAGTCTGCAGTTCTGTTGAAGAAAGATGTTGAATCTATTTAATTATTGTGGAAAAGTAATTGATTTCTGTGCATTTTTTTTTCATTTTTTTTTTTTCACCCTGCATCAAATTAAAGTTGATTACATCAATTAAGCATCATGAGGTGGAGGGTGGTTCCCTTTTTTTGTTTTGTTTGTTTTGCTGGGAGTTTTAGAACCCTATTAGTTAGGTTGCTTAATATTTCCGCTAAGTACTCTGTAAAATACCAGAATAGGGAGGATGGTGTAGGTTTAAGTTTATTAGATTGATCAGTTTTTGCTCAACTATGAAATAATTTGGGTGCAGTGTATTTTTTGCATACAGGTATAACACAATAGCTTTAGTGTTTTTGTTTTGAACTTATACAAAATGCAGCAAGATATTAAAAAAAAAACAAAAAAAAAAAAACAGTTCTATTGATTAAAAAACACTATATCGGCTTCATATGGGTATCTGCAGATATCCAAATTTATGATATCGGCATCGGACATAAAAAAAAAGTGGTATCGTGCCATCTCTAGTCTAAACCACACCAAAGTTTTATGAATGTAAGGCCTCAGTCATCCCAAAACTAGATAAAGTCCACCCAGGACTCTGAAGGTGCAGATTGACACCTGTAGAGGTGCTGGGTCATCATGTTCTAAGAAGCTCTGCTGCACGTTACCTTCGAGTTAAATGGAGCCAGAGACCTCTAAACAGAAGAAAGCTCACAGGATGTTCATGAAAACCACTTTGAAGTTTCTGCAGTTTCATTTGTTTTAGTGTTTTGTATATTCCATGCAGTGATTGGGGAGGGGAACCTTTTCAGCACCATGGAGAGCAATCTGGAGACTTTTTCAACATTCATGCCCATGATGACTGTATAACCACAACTGTACAGTACTGTGGCAAGAGGCTCAGCCACTGTCAGTTCTCCTCTGCATAGAACAGCTTGTTCAGCTTTGTAAACAGGGCGCTCAGGGCACGCGCTTTTTAAAAGTCCTTCTCACTGTGTACGTCCTCCTTGTATGACTTCCCCTTCTGCTACAGGTGTGCCTCTTGCCTCACCTGATACTGCGCTCTGAATCAACCAGCTCCACCTTTCCCATCAGCAGTCAGGCAAAGCGCACAGCCCAGCACCACCACTGTTTAACAATTTACTAACACAAAATTTGAATCCTAAAAAAGAAGTAATATGTCCAAAGTTGAGAACTTGAATGGATTTAAAAAAAAAAAAAAAAAAAAAAAAAAAAAAATTATAAATAAGCTTAATATGGTAAGGAGTATAATAAGAAGGGCTTTTTGTTTCTTTTCTTCTGCTCCCTTAATCACTTAGGCTTGCTGATTGATTTCTTTTTAGTACCCAGGATGTCTTTGCTATGGGCACTTGTTTCTGCTTCAAAAAAACAAAGTTAGGCAATGCTCTGACTCAGGCTTGAGTAACTCTAAATTTCAAGATGCCTAAATAAAACTTTTGAGTTATTAATTTGAAATTTTAACATTGTAACACAAAATTTGGATTTACAGATCCTGGGGAAAAAAAATCTGTGGCAGAAATGAGCTTCCATACCTTCCCGACGCAACCCCAAAGGGGACTGTCTCATCTGGTTAGGTTAGGTGAATGTGTAAAGCACTAGACCGTTTACACATCACTTATTCATGTTGAGTAAATTAAATTCTTGCACTTTTGCACCATCGTCCAGCTGATTGACTTTTTCTTCTTTCCGTCGCTTCCCTCGTTAGAAGTTTATGGACGACACCGAGCTGTGCTTGACCCGACTGGGAGACGAGATGAAGACCAAAGTGCAGAGCTTCATCGGCAGATTGCGAGACTGTGCACGCGCTCACTGTGACATCAACAGCCCGACCATTCAGATGAACATCATCAAGATCACCAAGGACCAGGCGCGCTTACAGGAAGTCCGCTGCGGCATCGAAGGTCTCATGCTCGAGAGCGACCCTTTCCGCTTCATCGAGGTGAGACTCTAACGCGTCACTGTCAAACTGCGGCCGCGATTTTACTCTTAAAGCACGGAACATTTTCTTGTGACATTATTGAACTGATCCAAAAGAAAGTTTATCCTGCTGAAGTTAAAAGCTGTAAAAATACCAACAGAATGCTGTCATCAAACTCTCAGACTACCCTGCTAGGATGATGTAAATGTGATGGTTTATATTCCAGGGCTGCCCACCAAAGTACAATCTATGTGTGGAGAAACACATAGATTTGTTTTAATAATTGATTTATTTGTGTTGATGTCTGTTTTGTCTTTTTCAGGCATACAGGACAAAAGGAAAATAGTAAGTTTTTTATTTTATTTTATTTCTCAGTTCATCTTTGCTTTATTCTCACATCATACAGACAAAATAAAGTTTAAACATCCTAATATTTCTCACAGCTGAAATTATCTTTTAGCTTATTTTTTTTGTGGGGAGGGGAAATACATCTCATTGGTGCCAGGTTCTTAACTACAGAGCGACTTGAACAGGTTGCTTGAAGTGTTTGAGAGATTTTGGTCCATGTTGACATGACTGTATCACACAGTGGCTGCAGATTTGCCGGCTTTACATGCATGATGTGAATCTCCGGTTCCACCACGTCCCAACATTGCTCTATTAGATTGAGATCTGCTGACTGTGGAGATTGTTGGAGGACAGTGAACTCACTGTCATGTTCAAGAAACCAGATTGAGATGATTCAACCTTTGTGACGTGTGTGTGTGTGTGTGTGTGTGTGTGTGTGTGTCACAAAAAACCATTAGAAGCATGATATTTAAGGAGTTTTTACCAGTACATATTGTAGTTTTACTTAAACTGATTATTATAGACTGACTGAAGTGCTTAGTTATGTGTCAGCATGGTTGCAAACAATTAGCGATTTAAGACGTGTATACATGGATGAAGGAAGCAAACTGTCACTTCTTTTGTCTTTGTGCACTTTAGTTACCGCAGGCAGCTAAGGAAAAACATGTTTTACCCAGAGTATGTCGACATGGAGACGGAGGGTGTGGGAATGACGATGGAAGAGGAAATGAGAAAATTTCTGGAAGATGAGCTCCGGCCTCACATTAGCGATGCTATCAATTCCCTGTGTAAGAAATATTCAGTCATTTGCTGACACTCGTCACTGTGTCTGAAACGGCTTCACAAGCCTCTAACCCGAAAACATCTGGCAGCGTAACGATTTTGTGCTGTTTCAGCTCTGCTCAAACTTCTGTTTCGTTTTCTCCATCAGGCTACATTTCTGATCCTGAGGAGGAGCAGGACGAGAATGAGGAAGAGGCTCCGGAGGAGGACGAGGAGGAGGACGATGAAGATGAAGATGACCTAGATGACAGCAGCGAAGAGGAAATGAGAAGTGAGGGGGAGGAGGAGGAAGACGATGAGGAGGAAGATGGGGTGGGACCGCATGATGATGATGATTACAGCCCGGAGGAGGAGGAGGAGGATTTTGAAGAGGAAGAAGAAGAAGAGGATGGGGATGGGGATGAGGAGGAGGATGACGAAGAAGAAGAAAGAGGAGTTTAATAGCATTATTTTCCACCTAATGAAGCACTTTGAAGTCGATCCTCGACTGTGGACGAGTGCACAGTCACATGACAAATCGCTCGTCTTCATGTTCGCAGAATGTGAAGATTAAGACTCAAGAAGCCCCACAATTTGCCTCTAACCCTCACACAGCATTCAGACACATGCCGGGCAGTGAAAGCCTCCAGTTCAGCTGGACTTGAAACAAATCAAGGGCTGAGAATGTGCTGAAGTGACTCTCACCCTAAACATGTGTCGCACACTGGCAAACCTAATTCAGGTGCTTTCCTTTAGAATCATTCGCTGGACATGAATGTGAATGTATAACGGCTCAGTTTGGGAAACCTTTGCACGTCTGTGACACCAGATTTTCGAGCACTTTGCCAAAAAGATTTTTTAGAAAGTGAGAATTTACTCTTTCACCTTGTTAGCTAGATTTGCTCTAGCTTGATTGAAGAACTTTCTGCAAAACGTTTGATACAACAATAGCTCCAAAGAAAGCCCTTCGATCAGAACTTCTGCTGAAGGCTCTGAGAAATCTGCTGGAACAGAACCTGTGTATGAGCTTGTGATTGTTTCAGCATTGTAAGCCAAAGAGAAAAGGTTGTGAGTGAGAGTGTGTGTGCATGCATACTTTAGGAGATGTTTGTCTGCTTGGCATGATGTTTAAAGAAATGTGCTAACAGAAGTTTACTGCAGAATGACGTTTTGCTTTTTGTGCTTTAAAAGCAGTTAATGCATTTACAAACATGTAAAAACAAAAATAATTGTTCCTATGCACAGTTCATACATTCTTCTTAAAATACCAGTTTTAGGTGATGTGTACTTTCGCACTTTACTACTGTTAATGCTGTGGTACACCTGAAACCTTTGAATGTCGACAGCTGATTTCCATTTTGATAAAATTATTTGAGGGGCCAAACTTCAGGAATTGTAAAAATTAAAAATAATAATAAAAAGCCTGGTGAATGTGCACGGTTGTCACGGTGTTGTTTATGTTGCTGGAGAAATGTGACGTAAGAGTTTATATTTTTGCTTTGTGTACAGGAAACGCATTACTGCAGTTTCATTAGGACATTTAAAGCTAACAGGCTGAAGACTTTAAACACAGGAAAATGGGCAAGAAGGAAAATAAAACAAATGTCACATATCCCTAGCATCCTCCTTTTCTGTCACACCAACCTTCTGTTTGTACTCCTCCATTACATCCATGAACCTCATCTGTGCTCTTCCTTTTTGCCTGGCAGCACCACCTTAAACATCTTTAGCTGTCCCTCCAAAATCCACATTACTATTCTTGTCCTTTCTGGTCACTCCCAGTGAAAATCTTGGCATCTCCAGCTCAGTCGCCATCTCCAAACCGCACATCTAACATCTTGTAAACCTTCCCTTTCAGTCTAGCTGCTATTCTTTCACTCAGATACTCTTCTCCACCCACTCTTCCCTGCCTGCACTGTCTTGTTCACCTCTTTGTTAACTGTCTGTTGCTTTGGTTGGCCATAGGTATTTAAATTCAGTCTCCATTGCTACCTCTCTCTTCCACCTGCTCTCACTACACGTCGCAACATCATATGCAAACATAGTCCACAGACACCCCAGCCTGACCTCATCGGTCCATCACTGCAGACTAATAATAATAAAATCTTAGTTTAGGCCTTTAGTAAGTGGGGTAGTTTAGAGACAGCTTTCAGTACAGGAGTAGCCCGTTCAACCACGCAAGTCATGGGGCCCCAATATATTTCACTACACTGTAGAGGAGAAGCAACCACCACCTCTAGTATTTAAACTGTTGTGTATTATTGGCCTATAACATGTCAAGCTCATTCTGAGCCAGAAAGAAAATTTCTGTCACAAAGTGACTTTTGCATATCCATATTAATCTGGGTGAAAGTGTCACTGACATCAAAAGTCTCTTCTTCACGAGAGGTGGAGCCAAGAGGGAAGCATGGATTGTATTAGCATGAATCACAGTTCTACAAATACATTTTAACTGCCCCAAGGGAGTGCATTTTAATGCAGAGGACAGAGCAGCAGTGCCAGATCTAGAAAACGTTACATCATGAGGGTGTAAAAGAGGGGCAAGATGTCCAGGCAGGGTGGCAAATACCTCTTCAGGGAAGAATGTGAAAATCTCTTATGGAGTCAACAAAATATCCACTAAAATAAAACATTTATTGTATCATTATATCTTCAAAGAAAATAAACGTTTTGGAAAAACAAGCAATTAAGACAGCTGAATAAATATCAAGAAGAATATATAGAATATAAAAAAACAACATCAAGACGAGTACGAGTTGAAGTGCTTGAAAGTAGTGCAATGGTCTTAGTTTATACTTTTAAAACAGGCCATTCTTTATTCTACATATAGCCCCTTTGTAAATCATGTTGTCTACAGGTTATTTACCAATATAAGGAACTATATTAGGCATAAAAAAACAGAACACACAGAAACATCTGTAATCACGTTTTGCCACGACACCCGGAACGGTTGTACTCCCGTGTTTAACCGACGGACAAAAAACAGCACGGACTTCCGGCGTCTGCACCAGTGCGTGTGTTATTGCATGTTATTCATCCTAAGCAGATGTAGTTCTGTGAGGAGTTTCGTCTGAGCATATCTGACATTAAATATCGACAGAGAGAGGCGCAGTGATGAATCCTGTCTTCCGGAAGGTGACGTCCCGCTTATTTGTTTTTTTCTCTGCTACAGGTTTGCTGACTTCACAGAGGTCACAGCTGTGCTGGAGCTAAGTTAGCTTGCTGTCAGCCAGCCCCGTGTTTGTGTCGTTGTTGTCTTTTCTGGCTCCTGTAGAGGTAACTGGAAAAACAGAGGATGTTGTAGATGGAGCTGCCAGGCAAGGAGGAAAAGAGGAAGACCGCAATGGGTGTTTATGGTTATACTGAAGGAGGATATCCAAATACTGCTGTGCTTCATAATTGCCGGGATACACTGTTAAATTTAAATGAGTGTGATAAATAGTGGATTTGACAGGTGATGTTGTCTCCAGGTGCAGGCGTCTGTCGCACAGCAGGCGCTCCTGCTGAATAAAGCGCTGACACCTTGCCGGTAAGTCTTTGCCTTGCTTTTTCGGTTGTCCCAGTTGTAGACATTATATGTTTAAAATAAGCATTTAAGTTAAATTGATCAGTTTTTAAAACAGATTGAAGCACAGACATTTACAACAAGTCTCAATTGTTAGACCGTAGAATTTGTTTTATGTTTCTAAACACATCGCGGTGAGATGATTTCTCTCCTTCTGATACTATTTATGATTAATCTGTGTTCTGTAATCTTTAAAGGGCTGCACCGTCCATCCAGCATCCTGTTTGGTGTAAGTATTTGTGTCCTGTGTATGCAAACTCAATGCAAACTGCTCGTGGTGCTGCAGAATATTTAAAGTGTTGTTTGTTCTCTTCTTAGGCACACACTCTGTAAATGAACGACAGTACAAGGGCATGCCAACCCACGGCATTGGGAGGTGGAAATATCTGTTACCTAAGCAAGCGGTAAGACTCCAAGTGGAGAATATATTGATTGGCTACCTGCTAAATCCAGAATTGAAAATAAAAACATTCTCCTCACACACACAGTTTTGAATAATCACGCCCATTTCATCTTAAAGACCTCATACCACCAGAGTGTCCTCACAGAACTCTTCAGTGTCAGACTGCTGGCTTACTTGTGGTTCCCAGAGTGAATTTTAAATTGTTTGCAGGATAGAGTTAACTGAAGACACTGTCTGGCCCTTTGCTGTTTTGTTGCTTTTAGCCGAGGAAAAAGAAGGACAAGCACCGGATGAAACGGATCATGTCTGCGACAGATACAGCGTACGGCACTCTGAATGTGAACGTGTCAGGATATGACATGACTGTCGTGGAACATTACTCCAAGTACATCCATAACTTCTGCAACCGGCTTGGCATCAAAGTAGCTGACAGGTGAGGATGTTTGGATGGCAGGTCTGAGGTTTCTGATCACTGCAGGTCAGCAGGTAACATTTAACTGAGTCACTTAAGGAGCTGAGATGCAAACCATGCCAAGTTCAATAGGAACATTTCCATTTTCTGCTATAACTGCCCCCTGTTCATTAAGATTAGATGTTTGAAGTTAAACTGTTTTTATTCTTTTCCATATATGAACAACATTAAATATGATTTGGTTTATTTTATTGGTAGACCGGGTATCAAAGGTCCCCGTCTTCTCTCTTATGTGTGGGTAATTAACAATTCACTCAGCAGATAGAAACATAGTTAGGATGAGCTGCAGGTTTGTATAAGTTGTTTTTCCCTGTAAAGGATGGAATAAAAATTATTTAGATATGTGTTTCACATGAAGGGACTGACACAGTTAAACTGTCAAAGCAACAGTAAGGATGGTAGATGATCGAGTTTTAAACCTTGATATAGCAGACTTTGGTCACTAGATGGCAGCAGAGTTCCTCTGCATCCGCCAAATATATTACAGTGAGTTGTTTTGTTTTCCTTTGTAGTAGACTTAAGCTTTAATGCTCTTTAATGCTTCCCACGTACAGCTATGCTTTACCAAGAAAGAGCACAGAGGTCATGGTGATGCAGGAGCAAGGCACCAAGACGTACGTCGATGCTGTCCTCAAGACTCACCACCGAGTCGTTCAGGTAAGACCTGGCTTGTTGTGTTTTTTGGGGTTTTGTTTGTGCTTTCAGCTCAAACTGCAGGTGCTGCAGGTGTACTGAGAGGTTTTAAAGACCTAACTGTTAACAGTGTTATTACTTTTTGTCCAGCTGAGCACTCTGAACGCCGCGCTGTGTCCCGTCTTCATGGACGTCCTCTTAAAGAATCAACCCGAGGGAGTTCAGCTCTCTGTGACGGAGGTGAGTAAGCTGTTGCATGTTCATCTTTTAGTCCATAATTGTTGGAGAACATTAAAAGTGCTTACTATAACAAACCAAACTCCATCTTACTCTTAAAAGCAATGTGCATGTGTAGTTTTTGGTCATATCATAATTTTTAAAACTAATCCACTTCTCTCCCTCTGAACCTCTCAGCACACCGAAGCTGATTTCCAAGCACGGTTCAAGGCGCGTCCGGAGCTGGAGGGGCTCATCGCTCAGATGAACCAATAACTTTCCACCTCATTATGTACAAGTCTCAGTTTGATCTAATTTATTACCCATCATTCCTCAGTAGCATCCTGTATAAATGGATTATCTGAAATGGAAAAAAACTGTGCACATTAGTCTCATTTTGTGACCTTTGGGAAATAAAACCACACTCATTTTTCCACCTTAAAATATTTTCATATTTATTTTTCTGGTTCTTCTGCTTCATTGTAAACTTTGTTCACTTTAATACACATCATGTCACTGTACTTTTTTTAACCTTTGGACACAAAATGTAGTATTTTTAATTTCTGTGACTAAAAGTTAGAATTGTAGCAATCAGGTATTTTTTAATTTAAATATAAAAGTTCAGAATATTTTATTTGCCTGTATTCTGAGTAAACATTAACATCTGTATCCCATGTTGTAGAAAAACATAAAAGAAATTAAATTACACAGATAAAAACAAGATAAACAATTAAAAAAAAATAAAGGTAGGTTTTTTTTAAACAAGAGAAAAATATATATTTGGTTGAGTTAAATAAAAAAAAAACGTAAAATGTGGTTCATATTTTTACATTCCCTAAACAATACATTGAGATCCCTCCAGCTCATAGATGAGAAACCTCAGAGACTTTATCCCTTGGACTTCATAGAGCTCATCTTTGAATAATCTCTCATTTGGCTCATTTAAATTTCTCACAGCATCAAATTTCTCATTGGAGATCAAATCTTTTTCCTGGAGTTTGTCTTGAACAGCTGCTGCCTCGCTCACTGTCCATCAGAGCCGTTGAATGGCGATCCATGAAATGCTGTCCAGAAAAATAAAAAGCAAATGTAAAACATAATAAAATACAGTAATACTCTACATTATAGTCCTGAAAAAAGAAGCTGTTTTCAGTTATAAGGTTTTACATATCAGCACCTAATGAAAATCTCCTGGTCTTTACAAGACTGTAAAATTACTGAAACTTTAGATGAACAGCAACATGACGCCATTATTTAGTGAAAATTAAACCAAAATGCTAAATAACTAAGCACACTGCTCCCTGTGCAAGTAACAGCCAGGTGCTGATACAGAAATGCACTTGATTATTGATAATCAGCACATGTGAGCATCTCTACAAAAGCAGTCATTCAGTAGTTCCCTAGTCTGGAGCATTCAGGTGTGTGTTAACACAATTCCAAATAGGAAAGCAATAATAATTTTTAAAAAGAAATTGCTGATGTTCTTCAGTCTGGGAAGAAAGATCATTCACAAACAGAAAACATTCAAGACGGCTTCCAGTCAACACAGGAGTCACTATCCCAGTAAATTCATCCCAGTGTTAGACCACGCCCTGCTCAGAGAAACTCCAAGAAACCCAAGAGCTACATCTGAGACTCTGCAGGCCTCAGCATGTTAAAGTTAATGAGAGTACAATTAGAAAAAGATGAACAAGTTTTGAACAGGCTTTTTTTTGGAAAGAGGGAAAATATCTTCTATCTAAAAAGAACAGCAATAATGCTGCATATGGGGAAAAAAAGCAATATATTTTGGATAGGTGAGACGTAAGTAGGCATGTTTGAACAAAATACACAGCATTACATTTGGAGAAAACCAAACAGCATATCAGCAAAAACACCTCAAACCAACTGTCGAGCACGGCGGTGGAAGGGTGATGGTTTGGGCTTGTTTTATAGCGACGGGATCAAACTGGAAATCGTGCAAAGAGACAGTGATCCACACCACAGTGAGAACTTTACAGCAAATGGGTGAAGAAGAAAGACTGCTTTTGTTTCTCTCAGGTTTGTTTTTAGGTTGTTTCAGAACCCAGTTTTCTTTTTAAATTAAGTCTTGATAAGCAAAACATAAGATTTGAAAAAGGAATTTACTTTATAAAATAATCATGGATTAAAGCGAACCTCTTACCCTGTTCTTGGTGAATACTTGTGCTTAATAGTCATCTGGAATAAAAGGGTTCTCATTGGTCAGATGGTGGCTGTTTATAGTTTAGATGAGCTGCGTTAGGGTAACAACATATAAAACACTAACCTGTTCCGATAGCGCACGTCCACACGGTGTCCTTTTCCTTTCCTCCCCTTCGCTCAACTTCAAGTTTCAGTTTCATGTTTCCGAAGTCGCTTTTCACATTTCCAATGACCACCTCAAAGAAATTAGTGTCGCTCCACTCCAACATGAACTGCTGTTTCTGCAGAGAAAACATTTTATGGAAAGTTGAGGATTTTTGCTGTTTCTATGTTATGGTGCAATGAACAGAAGTGCAGCTTAGTCCAAACCTCAGGGCAGATTTGTGCTGTGTCCCAGTCTGTTGAGAGGTAGAAATAACTCTCCAGCTGTACAGGGTCAACAGGACTTGTCTTTCGGATTTTTCTGAATCCGTCAGATTTCTCCTTCTTCTCCACTTCCTGAAACATGGAAAAATGGACCATTCTCCACATACAAGTAATGGTTGGAAATCTTTGAGAATCGTGTTCACATCTATTCATGTCTTTAATGAACATATGTGTTTGTGTTTATATCAAGATGAGAACATTGATTTGCACTACTGCAATCCATGAAACTGAAAAGGGAAAATGGCAAGAAAACACAAGTAACAACTACAAAGTTTAAAAAAAGCTCAAAGCTGTTCAAAAAACAGCTTTTGAAAGAATGATTAAATTACATTAGCATAAAGATGGCTGTAAGTTCTTAACTTTTAATGCAGTTTTTTCTGCCTGAAAGTCAGTAATGTTGTCAGTTGGGTTGTCAAAACATTTAGAGACCAAACTCTATTAATTTGCTGCCTTGTAGTGTCACTGTGTTTTTGTATTTATCAATGAGAGCATTTTATTTCTCTCTGTTATTATATATCACCTTGATGATATTTTTCCTCACTTCTACTTTATATTGTTGCTCCAGTATGTGGCATTGTATTACCTGTTGTATTAGAGGATCACGTGGGACCAGGTAAACGTGCAGAGTGAGGCCAGATGTGATTTGCATGTATATCAAGACATCAGCAAAAACTTTTAGATATAGGCCCAGTTTCTTTAGGATCATGGCTCCTCTTAGAGAGAACTCCAGCTTGTTTAACTTCACATGGGATGATGTCATTTCAGACACTTGCTCCAAATAACCTCCACTGCTGTCCACATGCAGAACTCGAAATATGTCTGACATCGCTGCATTTTCACCTGCAAAGCACAAACAGTCGTGTGTGCATAAATATCTTTATTACTGTAATAAAACAATCATATGTGTTTTACGACTGCTCACCTGTACAGATCCAGTGCGGCAGACGGACTTCCTCTAGCTTCCCATCTGTGACTTTGATGTCCATTAGGGGTCCTGCTGGTATGTAGTCCATGCATACAGGTTTCCTCATGAATCGCTCCCATGAGCTAAACTGGTATCTGAAGCTGACGGTTTCCTTACAAACCCACTGCAAGGCAGACTCGCTGCATTCATATTTGCCACTTTCAGACTGCAGGCTGAATTTGAATAGACAAGACAAAATGCTCTGTTATGCTCTGTTCACATGCACGAACAGAAATGGCACAATGCAAATAGTACAAAGTGGTGCTTTAAACCCAAACCACTTCATTGTGTGTCTTGTAATTAGTGATAACCTTCACCTGTAAGTATGAACCTCCTCCATTATCTGGACTTCAGGTTTCAGCTTCGTCCACGGACTGGAGTCCTGTTGTACAAGATATTTTTACATTGTCATGGTCATTGAAATTGTAAATTCTTTACAATTATTGTAAGATGCAATAAATGAGTAGAAAAAAATCCACAGAAACAGAGACTTACCATTTCATTGCCAAAAGCTTTCAGAAGTCTCTCAGAAGTTTCTTCTTAAAGCAAAGTTAACGTTTAAAGAGCTAGCTCACAAAATTCAATAATTCTAGCACAATTTTAACGTTACTTTAACTTGTGCGAGATTTCTATATGATATAAGTACATAAAAAACATGCTTTTTAATCTTAGCATCTTTAAAGCAGAAAAATGGAGGAAACACCATTTGGTCATGTAAAATTATCAACCTAGCTGTATTAAAACAACTATTGTCATTATAACATGAAAAAATGTGATACTCAAAGAGGAAAGCATTTAATTTGTTGAGGGAAAGGATTTTAATAGTTTCATTTTCTTACCCTCAGTTCTTCTGTGAACGTTGTAAGCAACAGGACCACTGATTGTAAATCCAAGATAAAAGAACACATGGCCTGAGTTCCAGAGGCTGTCTTTTTGGTTAACATCCAACTTGATCTCTGTGCTGCCAAATGTTGCATACAGCCTGTAATTTCTCACCACCCCTTTAACCCTGAGAAGTTTGTCTTTGACTGTTGGATTTCTGAAAATATCGTCGTTCCTCCAGTTTGTGTTTGAGGCTTTCAGTGCATCTTGGGTCCACAAGATTTCAAGGTTGCGTCTGTGAACAAGTCTGTTCAGACCCTGACCCGGTCCAAGAAAAAATATGGGTCGAAGGTACCTTGACCGAAAGAGTGACTTATATTCTTGTTCATAGGAATGCAGAATATTTTGGATTAAATGAGGGAGGTCAGAGGCCAATTCGTCTTCACCATCTGTAGGCCAACACAACAGCAGAGCTAACATGTGAAACTCGGGTTGCATCTCAGGAGCCAATGGCATTTTCTCTGTAAAGCTGCTTTGGTAGTCGGAGCTGGACGGAGGTTCTTTCATATTTATCAGCATGATATTGGCCAGAACGTAGTTGAGTAAGGCATGTGTAGCAGAATGTTTGTGTTGGCAGATTTCTTTCCACCATACAGCAATGTCCTTGGTGTCTGATCTAGTGCATCTTTCAAGACATGAAAGTACTCCCGGAGAAGTGACAGCCAGTTTTTGTTTAACTTTGTGGAAGGCTTTCTGGAGTTGATCATTTGGTTCTGCGTCTCCAACATACTTTTTGTAGCATTCTATTGTCTTTCTGGAAATGTAGGATGGATCTTCTTTCTTTACAACAGAATATGAATACGTTAAAAAAGTGTCAAAAAATTCAGATCTTTTCTCAACCAAATCTCTGAGGCGGTTTATTAGCTCCTTAAACCTGAAAAGTTTCTCATCTCCGAGGGATTTCAGGACAGAGCCCAGAGACACAGTCTTTGTGAGAACTTGCTTCCAAAGTTCATCATGTCTGATAAGATGGTCATACAACAGGGTGCAAACTTCCAGATAACCAAACAGCCCTCTGGTGTTTAAAGCACACAAGACTTTTTTATTGCCATCTCCTTGTTTGCCTTTCATGTGTTCATTCTCAGCAAGTCGTTCCTCATCTTCAAAAGCTTCAATGCCTTTTTGGGCAAGCTGTAAAATTTCTCTTGGCTTGGCAGAAACTTTTAAGTTCTTCAGGTGGATCTTATGGACTTGGCCTAGTGTATCTGCAACATATGAACTCCAAGGTGCTCTCCGCTTTGCTTCTTTTGCCCAAATTTCTGCCTCATTGTAGTCTTCTTTTTCTATATAATATAAACGAGCAAGAGTTTGTGGAAAAAGTGGGTTGTCATCAAATTTCTTTGAGGCCACCTTCAAGACTGACAGACTCTGACTTTTGCCTTTCTTTTTGTCATCATCTTCTGTCTTTGTAATATCTTGAATCAGTCTGGAAAACGTTTCTTTCTTCTCATTAATGACACCAGTTGGGTCCTCTATTATTTTAATTTCTCTTTTATTTAGCATGTCTTTGATAAACCCAAGTAAATATGGAGGAACATAACTTCTGCAAAAACTGTTCAAGAAGTGTCTTGTTGTGTCACTTCTGGTCACACCCGCATTAGCCAACAGTTCAGTACAACACTGAGCTATCATATTGTGAGCCATGCGAACCTTTTTTTCAGATCTTTCACCTTGTTGGAAGGTGACGATCAGATGACTGAAAGGCTGCATTTGATCCTCTAGTGAAAAGTCATCTTCATCTTCATGTCTGAGGAAGTCCAGGCACTGAGACTCCAGGAGATATGAACCTGGTACGTAGGCGTTCAGCAGGGATAGGAAGGCAGCAAGCTGCATCTTCAGTGGCTTATTTGTTCTTTTGATATGTTCTAATGTAGCACATGCGTTCCTGATGTAGGCTTGAGAGAAATTAGACTGCAGAATGTTAAAACCATGAAACTGCTTGCACCGATCACCAAATCTTCTGCCAAGCTCCTCTTTTTTCATATCAAAGTCTGCTTGCTCTCTGTCTGAGAGAGCTTTTTTGAGAATAATAGATTTTCTCATTTTCCTCTTGAACTTTTGTTTCAGTTCATAAGAACGCGCCTTTTGGTGGATAATCCCGTCACTGCTTCTCACACAGTTCAGTAAAATTACCACAGGCAAATCAATTTCTATATCCTGTTCAGCAATCTCTTCCATAATCCTGTCCTGGAGGATGTCCAATATGAACTCATCATTTAGTAACAACAGTACCGTTTTCTGGTGGCCATGGCTACCTGCTGTAAAAAGGCTGACCACATCTTGCGCAACTTTTGTGATATCTAATGTTGAGCCTGTCAAAACAGCACATCTGAAGGTTTTCCTTAAGTCCCACAGCACCTGCATAGCCAGTGTGGTTCCCCCACATCCTTGTTGATGAAACAGTTTAATTGTTGATGTCCCAGGGCCTTTTCTTCTCAGGTGAATTTGTTCTTTAAGGGTTTCATATCCATCTCGTTTGATAAAAGGAGTTGCATTGCCATCTGACACTGCTTGTTCACTGATATAGAAGTTGAACCAGTTCGGTGGGGCCCCTCTGTAAAAGTTTTCCTCCACCTGCTCAGCGTGTTGAGGTTCAACAAACTCTCCTTCAAACTGTGTGGTGTAGAGGACATCCAAAGATGAGAAGGAATCACTGATTTTACTCGTTACATGTATTTCTCCACCTTCAGCAGTGGGCAGGGCTGGTCTGTTTGCCATCTTCACACTTTCACTTTGCTTCACCCTAATGAATGTTAAACAAAACAAACATGAGTCCGTCTTATGTCTTAGCTTAAACTATTTGTAATTTAGGTCCTACATTCACTTTATGGAATGTGATATATTTAAATAGCCATTTCATTGCTGGTCAATCACATAAAATAAATATAGCCTTCTCCATGTAAAGAACCAGACACTAACTTCAATTAAAACTTCCATTTGTCATTTGCAGATCTTAAGAGATTTTTCTTACCTTCTCCCAAATTACACGGACAGCTCTAAAGACCTGCTATTATGTGTGTGTTCAAGCACTGGGACCGTGAATGTGTCATGTAACCCGGAAGGTAGTCGTCACACCCAAAGCAGGTTGGGATAATCAGGTACAGACATGTACACCTCTACAGTTTGAATCTTAGAGCAGTTCCAGTTTCAGAGTAGTTTAAAAAAAAGGAATGAGTCAATTTAACAACACATTTTCTTCCTGGTTTTTAAAAAAAGCAGAGGCTACGCTTGACGTGTTCAGTCAATAAACACGTCAAGTTGGCATAAAATATTGCACAATCAGAAGCTAAAGATTGGAAATTTGCAAAATTGGCCAACAAAATAATAAAATATGTGATATATGTTAATATTGTCCTATTTTCAAATATTACCTACATTTGTTTAAAGGGCAGGGTGACTTCATTTGATTAGGAAATGCTTGTCACAACAGGAAATACTAAGGCTTTACTATGAACGGTTTAATGATGAAAGATAACAATTCTTTCTGTCTCTATTTCACTCATGTGGCTGCTGTTCAGGTCTCAGTTTGCAATTAAACAGTGCTTGAGTATTTGGAAACATTTAAACAAATAAAAGGAGGGCATTAAAATACGTTAGGATGTAAGCAAATGTAAATAATCAATGAAGAGTGTTTGGAAGCGCATCAAAAAAGAATATTTATGTGGCTTGATCACAGACAGTTCTCTATTATCCAAAATGTTTTTCACTCTCTTTTTCTGTCACATTCACTCTCTTTCACACACACACACACACACACACACACACACACACACACACACACACACACACACACACACACACACACACACACACACA